ATTTTTATCATAATATTGCCACATAATTTCACACATTTACCAAAAAAGCACCACAAAACTTCACAAATTTTGCAAAAATAAGATCACATAAATTCACAAATTTAGGCTTGAGCACAAAAATATTTTACCTTATGTCACAGGAAAAAATCATCATCCCTGCATAGCACTAGCTGGTATAAGGATGTTAAGAAACTTGAAGACATTGTTAATCATGATTGGCAAAAAAGATGCATGTGTCAAGATAATGGAATCTTCCTGCTTGAGGTATGGTATGATGAAAACCCAGAAATTGTTATCCCCAAAAGAATACAAAAAATTAAGAGTTTCATTGATCAAGCATCCAGAATTTTTGACTTATAGTCAATTCATAATGTATAACTTAATATCTAACCACAGACAAATGTTAATATGTATATCTTATAACACATATGCATTTTTTTATTTGTACTGTGAAGGCATAAAAGTAAATCATCATGTTTTTATGATGCTATCGGAATTTAATCTATAAAATACATAGAAATATGTCAATGTCTATAAAATTTAGATGCAAAAACATTCTTATTCCATAAGACTGATATAGAAATTTATATTGCCAATGTCCCCACCACGTTAATATACCGTATAGAAAAAAAACTTAAATTGTTCCAATCTTGTTCTTTAAATTCTATTAGACATAAAAATGTGCAATCAGTTAAACTGTTGTATATCATACCAAGCATTCAATATATGTTTGAAATATTTACCATATTAAAGCGGATATTCATTAAAGAAATAAACTTTCAAATTAAAGACTAGTGCCATAATCCAAAAAAGGAAAAAGTATGGTTGCAAAAGTGGTCGCAAAAGTAATTGCAACCACTTTTTATATGCTGTAAATACAATTACAACCATCATCATAATTTATGGCACCAGTCTTTATTTTGAATTTTCACACTTTCATCTTTTGAGGTAACTAAAGCTCGTCAAATATTTATAAATGCTTTGTTTTTATCTACCGCAAGCCACACAATTTGATTTAAATGTTCTTTATTTTCTGGCTCAATTTCATTTACTATGTTTAGAGCAAAATCAATTAACTCTCCGAGTTCTTCATCGGTCATGTGCCTCTTTCTCTCTTGGATTTCATCCTCATTGTTTTCGTGTCTTCTCTTCATTGGTAAAACATATTGTTCTGTGAGTTCAGAACTCAGATTCTGTTTTATCACCAACAATGACTCGTCACCTATTATATTTCAATAGATAACACATAAATATTTAAAATACTGCAAGCATGCAATCCGAGTTTCCTATTTAATAGGTATATTTATTGCTCAACACACAGCCTACCTGCTGACTTACAGTCAAGGTAAATAAAAATATAACTTTTATCTTTTCAGATAAAAGGGTCCCTAGGTTCTATAGATATGTTTATATCCCAAAGGCGTCCCCTTGAGATGTTTAGAATGTTGGTTATTTGCTAAGCACAGCAAAGGTTCCCCCTTGGTGGTTAATTAATTAGAGATTATTATTTAGGGTAAAATATGTTATGTGTTTTATTAGTGATAATTTTATTATTACAGTGTATTAGGAAGTATTAATTACTAGATTAATAATTAAAGATTTTTCATGAACATCATTCTGACTTGGTCTGAAACCAAGTCTTTTTATACCTCTTGGGGTATTACAAATAACATGACTTTTACTCTAGTTTGTCCAATAAACTATGCTTATTAATATAAAATAAATATTTGGGTCAACTGAGCATTACAAATAATAATTAATAATTAAAAGTAAATATTTACATCAGCTGAATAAGTTCTTGAAATATAAATATAGAAATATGAATATGAGTAATTGTATGTGTGATACTGCGCGATATGTCACACGACTACTATTACTGTTACTATGCTTAAATTAATTATCAAATCATATTTGCTGATAAATTTTTTTGTTTTTTAAAAAATCTATTTCGAAATGAATTATAAAGTTCCAAATGGTATATATTATTATTATTAATTAACTCATATTACTTTTATTTATTTATATTTACATTTGGTTGTTTTAATAGATTGTTGGGTGTATATTGATAATAATGATGATAAAATTAAAGAAATCTTAAAAATTTATCATAACAACAATTGCAATTATGATGAAAATCTAAGTGGAAATGATTCAACCGATAGTGAAATTTATGATTCAAATAATGATAATGAAATTGAAATATATGAGGATGAAGATAGTGATAATAAAATTGGCGGTGATGATGAAATCATTAGTGAGGGTGGCAACGAAAACAGTGGTCAAAATAACAATGGATTTTTTTGTACAGCTTCAAATATTTCAGGGATAGGGCTTTACTTAACAGACACAGTAAATTTCATGGCAAAAAAAAATGTGAATATCCAGGATGTGCAAAATCATTTTGTCAAAGTGGTGAATTACGAATACATACAAAACGTCATCTTGGAATAAAAAATTTCAAATGTGAATATCCAGGATGTGCAAAAGCATTTTGTCAAAGTGGTGCATTACAAAGACATACAAGATCTCACCTTGGAATAAAAAATTTCAAATGTGAATATCCAGGATGCGCAAAAGCATTTTGTCAAAATGGTACATTACAAATACATACAAGACGTCATCTTGGAATAAAAAATTTCAAATGTGAATATCCAGGATGTGCAAAAGCATTTTGCCAAAGTGGTGAATTACGAATACATACAAGATATCATCTTGGAATAAAAAATTTCAAATGTGAATATCCAGGATGTGCAAAAGCATTTTGTCAAAGTGGTGAATTACAAATACATACAAGACGTCATCTTGGAATAAAAAACCATGAATGTAATGTATTTGGATGTGACAAAAGGTTTGTTAGAAAAGCTGAACTCGATATGCATAAATCTAGATGTCATTAAAATCTTGGCTACATGATAATGATAATATTAATTAAATATTTGTTACAAGACACTCATGTAATAATAAATTATAATTAGACAATCAACACATGCTTACCTTTAAGCTCGTACAGTATGTACAAGTATGATATAAGTATATAAGATATAAATAAACGTCATGTATGAGTAAAAATACCAACCCTGATTATAATCGTTTAATCCTGTAAAAATAACTATTTGGCGATTTGGGTATGAATGATGCATATTTTATTTTAATGTAAAAAATTTATTCGTGTAACAATAAAATAGAGTAATGTATATACTGTAGATAAATCAATTTAAAAAAGTATCCGGACACAATTCCCTTTTTTATTAAGAAAACGGGATCTAATATCCTCGCCAGTTATAATCTACATGTTATAAGATAGTATTATCTAAAAAATGCAAATTTGATCAAAAACCTCAGAGATCATTTTTGCTGGAGACAGTCCCATATGATTTTACTATGACAACACCACTACCTCTATACATTCTACTACCTAAGTATACATAAATATTTGAAATTTATTCGAAACCAAACTTTCTCTCCTCCCAAAAAAAAAATCTATACTGTACATTTTTTATTTACGAGGCACAGTCGTTTTAGATTAAATGATGTTAACAGCTTCAAAAGTGTTGGCGTTAACATGTAGTAAGTAGAACACAGAATATTTTCATTAATGAAAGTAAATTAGAATACTTCTTCTATAGTAAACAACTTGTTATTTAATATTATCATCATTTACGTAATAAGTAACATTATTTAGAGTTCAGTGATCGACAAAATTGTTACGCGTACTACTGGAATAATTTTTTAAAAAAATTTTAAATTCACATGGAAAGTCGTCTGATTAATTACCTTGAATATGAATTTCTAAAACAATCAAATCTAATTAACACAAGTTGTTTCTATTTTTATTACACTAATGAAAAAAAATAATAGCCAAATAATGTTTGTTCTCTTTAAAGAAATCTATATACTAATTTTTTTTTCTTCCATTTTTTAATCATTTAAAACGTAAAAAGAACACTATAGATATTTCTTCTAATGTAAAATCATTTATCAACTAATCACTGAAATGGTATAAAATAGTGAAGAAAAAGAGAGAGATATCAACTTGTAAAGAAATTATATTTTATGGATCAATTATCTACCATACATACATATGAAATTTTAGCAAATATTTTTAATTGTATAAAATATCCACCCAATATCTTGACAAAAATTGCTAAAGGCCCATCCATATCCCTACAAAAATTTTAGATACTTAATTTCTGCTTAATTTCTACAAAATGTGCTTAAACCATTCCCTATAATTTAAATTATAAACTAGTTTCATACATGCATGCACATTTGCTTTTGAAAAAAAAAATTAAAATACCAACTAAATTTAAATATGCTTTTTTGAAGAAAAATAATCTTTGAAGAGATAAGAGTGTTATTTTCGTAAACATGGCAAAAAGTTAGAATTTTACACGCAAATTCTTGAGAACATATATAAGCAAGCTACTAAATGACATAAATTATTTATCTTCATATTTTCATTATATGCAATTAAATTGTTTCATAATGACCGAAACTTTTGTCTAATGAGTGTATACAACATGAACCAACTAACCATTAATACTATTTATGTTAATGATTTTTTAATATATACCGTATATATATTGTTATTACAATAATATTAATCCGCTCTACAACCCAACCCTTTGCCCATACATGCTTTTCGATACCAAGGAAGCAAATTAGCATTAATATTAAAAAATATCCCACTTGTGCGAAGCTTTTCGATAAGATTATGCTCGAAAACGATCTTTTTAAATCTGATATGATTAACGATGTCATAAGTGATCTCAAAAAGGAAAAAGAATAGGATACAAAACGATGGAAATTTATCACAAAATCTGACCCTAAACCAATAGGTGCAATCAAAGTTTAAAACTAAAAAATAAAAATAAAAATAAAACCACAATGATAATAACGAAATTATTATTAATAACAATTGATGGGTTTTTTACCAGATTTAGCCGAAGAATAAGGTGATAAATTATCAGGCCTTGAAATTTGACTATCAGTTGCTCTGAATTTTTCGTGTAATCGACATATTTAGTTTGCATTAAATTTTGTGCGACAACCTGAAAATGATTAATGATTTTTACTTTCTCAAATGTTTCGTCAAACTACCAATTCCTATTTAAACTGTTACTATTCCCACCCAATAAAGTGGTGCCATTCAACAAACTGGTGATCCTCTTACTCCACAAAGTGCACTACCTACACCTATGGAACAATTTCAATTACCAAAAAGATTCCAGAAGAGGAAGGTTGTTGATACCTGTTTGCCTTTCTCTGGTACAAGTTCAACGAAAAAAAAGGCAACAGTGAACACATTCATGAACATGAATTTGTTGTTACGCAGTTGATGGATTACTTCAAGGTTCCCTCAAAGTACTTTGAAATATGTAAAAGAATTTGACGTAAGAAAGTTTTCTTGATCCTTTCCATAATCGATTTTCTAAAATTCACATCTTTCTTTTAGTTCATCTGGAGCTGAAGAATCAATTGCAACGAAAGTTGCAGTATAATTTATCCTAGCGTTCAAGATCCTGGAACTAGTGAGTGACGCAAAAGTACATTGAGTTAGATGCATTAACATGTTTGTTTTGGGTGCGATTTTCTAATATTAATATATTCATCTTAGGGTATCCACACGCTCAAGCAATATGTAAAGTGGGTAATTTTCAATCAACCCAAGACTGGATCACAAAATGCAAGCTATTGATGCAAGATGTTGTGTGCAGTGTGTGGCTAGAAGGGATAACGATTATTTGCCAAATGAGTATTTTAGTTTAAAATCACCTGATTTTGTAAATTCATTTGTATAAGTTTGAATAAATTTTGAATTAAGCGGTATTATTGGTTCGCAAGTGAATCATCAGCGAGGTGTATAGTAGTAGCCATAAATAAATTCTAAAGAATCAGAAATATTTTCGTTATCATCAATCACATCCATCAAATTTGAACCAATTCTATCCAATGTTCGATTCTGTCAATAGAATCATCAATTTCTTCTTCTGAATCCTCTTCAAAAAATGCTACATTTCACAGTCATTATTTTCAATATTATCATTGCTGAGTGTCATATCATCAGTTACTTCATTTGTTCATCTTTATTATCATTATCAACAGATCATTGGTTGTGAGATAGAATAGGAATTGCAATATGATGATTCCTTTTATAAAGTTTTTTATATTTTTTAACTTCCAACTCTTTTTTCTTTCACTCCTCAATTGACACATCCCAAGGACCTTTTCATGCTTTAATAAATAGATTTTTATTTTTATTTTAATAAAATTTAAATTAAAAAACCAAATTTTAATATTTTTTTACATAAAGACAATTCCTTTTTTCTGAATGTGCAAAAAACCCATTTTGGTCCAAAGTTTTCAACAGAGGCGCAACTCCATATAAATGAAGAGCCAATCTCGAAAATTCAGGTGCCTCACCTTTTGCTAAATCACAACAACTACTTCACGATGAAGTTGACTAAATGTTTCATATCAAAAGGATAAATATTCACGCAAAATTCTGATTGGTGGTGCACTAAACCAAACCTGTTAAAAATAATCAATCCACTGACCAAATACATATATGAAGAATTGCTTGTGTATTTTAAAAAAGTAAAATTCTATATTGCGGATGAGAACCAAAAATAAAAAGGTAAAAGTAGTTGTTCCAATTTATTAAAGACGGTTGATCATTTGATTAAAAAAGTTTCCACTTTCATGATTAAAAAATATTATATAAATCAAGAACTGCTTCATAAAGCCGTGCCATAATCTTCTTGTAGTTATTGAGAGCAACACACAGAAGAAGAAGAATATAAATGATTCCAAAGCTTTTGTTCATTTATTATAGAAATATGTCTGGAGGAAGATGACATCCTTGGTCTACAGAATTTGCTAAAAGTCTTTGTTTACTCTGAACACTTTGAGATAAACCAAAGATTCACTTTAAAAATCATACCCAAATGATCATGAAAACAGATAGCTATTCCAGCGAGTTTCACTAGGCGTAATCAAAATAGGACTCCAGAACTATGTATATCTGATGCCATTGTGTACGGTTTGCCATTTAACACTTTCAGGGCTAAATAAAACATTGCCACTATGAAAATCATGGTGAATAATTTTTAAGACGAATTTGATCTAAAAATAGCAACAAGAACACCTATTGATAAAAATAATTTTGAAGATTCCCATCTTCTAGATACCTCGTTACAAATATATTAGTACAGTCTAAGCTCTCTATACCGAACCCACTGTCCCCTATATGTAATTTTTCTGATTTTGTTGTTATAGAGAGAAAAATTAATTATAAAAATTGAATCGGGGACAAAAGGGTGATAATTCGTTATAGAGAAATTTTACTAAGTGTTCGGTATAGAGAGCTTAGACTGTATATTCTTTTATAATTAGGTCTTGTGTTGATCCATAAATATAAATTATAAAATCGATTGATACAGTTTTTAAGCAAGAAAATAATTAATTTTTATAATAATAATTAACAGCGAAATAAAATTATTACCTCGTCTGGAAATCTTTCTGAAATGTTTTATGAATCATGTAGTTTTTTTAATGCAACAAACAATCCTATCATTACAAAGCCTTCCATTAACATTTCCATGTAGCTTTGAATATAGTTGCAAATCCACCTTCACAATATTTTCTATATCATCATAAGGAATACATTGTTGCATCAAGCTGTGTGCTTTTAATCAATTCCATTACCACTGATTAGTCCATATCATGATGATGAACATTATATCAAATTGAACATGTATAATTTTTCATCTTGAATAATTTGAATTATAAAACTTGTTATTTTAAAGACAAATTTTTTAATATTAATATATAGAAAATCCTGTTGAGTATCCAATGAAATTCCGAATTATGATGCAATTATAAATAATAATGGATATCATAAACAATTGTATTCTTATTTAAATATAAAACTTTTCTAATAAATCGATTGAAATGCTTAATGGAAACAGGCAAACCAAATGAAATAAATTACCAACAAGGATCAGCAATATCAAGATGATAATAATAAAAAGATTTAAGATACAACGCAGAAAACCGCAGAAATCGCAAAAGTATGTATCAAAAGCAGAAATGTGAATAATTATATCTAAAATTGGTTAGGTGCTGGATATCTTTCTATTTTTGTAACAGACTGTCACGCAAGGTGAATATCTTACTATTTTTATAACATTTTAATGCAATTTCTCATAATTTTAATCCAAGTGATTATTACCCTACTTTTCATGTATCTTTTGAAGCTGCTTTTAACAAATTTAATGCACATATTCCTTCACATCCTGCTCGTCCCCTTTTTCATGCAGTGCAAATTTTTGATCCAAAATTTATTTTACTTGGTTCTTTGGAAAGAAAAAACTTACGTCAATATAGATCAATCAAAGAATTAGAAAATCCTTCTGATGAATTATTAAATGAATGGGCAATTTATTGTGGAATGCAAATAGATGATTTAATTGATGAAATAGATTTAAATGAATATTGGATAAATATTCAAGATCAATTGCCAATTCTTTCTGGAATTGCTCTGAAATACATATGGTTGCACATATCTAGTTTCTCAATATATTAGATAGCAACAGACAAAATCTTTCAGAAACTTCTTTAAAAACTTTAAATATGATGTATAATAACTCTAGTTTATTAATTGGAGGCAAATTGCAAATAAAATAGGCAGAACTTTAGTAGAAATAATTTTTTAAACGCCGCAGAAGTAAGCAGATTTTGATTTTTTTCGCCGCAGAAATTCACAACGGAATTAAATTGGTGCAACAGAAATTGTCTATCTTGGGAAAAAACTGTATATCTCAATAAACATTAAATTTTACAAAAAAGGATTTCACGAAAGCAAAAGTGTTGTATAGGAATGCTCAGTATTCGATATTCAATATTCGATGACTGATGAATGCCGAGTGCTGCTGAGTGCCGAGTAGATGGAAACGCATTTTTTTAAAACGTAATTTTTAGGAAAACGTGAGGTTAAATTTCAAGGTGTTTGTTATTGGATTTTGATTCATGAAAAGGATCGCCGTAGCCTTTAAACCGGTTTTCAGTGATTCATTCTTAGAAATTCGGATTCTTTAGTTCGTGTGTGCATGTGTTATTAATAAATGACGGATTTATGTGATTAATTGATGTATTAGTAAATAAAAAATCATCAGTGTGTATGGTTGCGTTGACTTTTATTAAGATGTTGACTAGGAATTTCGTGATAACAAATAGCTTGGTCTCATCCAAACCATGACAATAGAAAAAGACACCATTACCAATCAATTGAAATGAAGTAATCGAAATGGATTAAACAATTTGCGATGATGATTAATGTTTTCTTATCTTCGATCTGCCTAAAAGTAAACGACCACTATTCAAACCGTTTGTGTTCTTGTTCTTTGTTGTTTGTCGCCGTTAATCATTTTCTTTAAATTTTTTTGAAATAATTCAAAAAGTTTGCTATTATTAAAAAATGCAAATTATTACTATTAAAATAAAAATAAATTATATGAATAAAATTACATAATGTGAAAAAAAAGTGTAATAATATAAATATTTGTTGGATTAGATATTTTGTCTCTAATTTCATCACGCTTACACAAAATTTGTGCTACATTTTGAAGGATAAATTCTTTAATATATACAACAATTTGGAAAAACTAAATTTTGCTTTTATTTTTTTTAATTCCATACAATTTGAAATCAAAAAAAAGCGAAACTTGTCAAGAATTAACTGAATAATTAAAATGAAATTCAATATTTCTCTTCTCTTTTTGATTGCCTTTGCCGTTGTTGCTTTAGCAAGTCCAATTGATTTGGAAAAACGAGGTATTTCATATCACAATTACAATAAATATTATTAGTCAACATCATTGTTTTTGAAAAAATACTAACTATTGGTTTTCATTTTATTTTAGTTGCGTAAGTATTTTTGTACCATTACAGTCAATATTGTTTTTTTGAAAAGGTATTAATTATTTTATTTTAAATAATAAATAGATTGGTAAGTTACTATTACTACAGTCAATATCATTGTTTTTGAAAACATATTAACTATTGATTTCATTTTATTTTAAATAATGAATAGCCTGTAAGTATTTTCATAATTTATTATTACTACAGTCAATATCATTGTTTTTGAAAACATATATATTAACTGTTGATTCGATTTTATTTTAAATAATGATAGAAAGTAAGTATTCTCATCATTTGCTATTATTACAATCAATATCATTGTTTTTGAAAAATATTAATTATTATTTCATTTCATTTTAAATAATGAATAGCCTGTAAGCATTTTCATAATTTTCATAATTTACTATTACTACAGCCAATATCATTGTTTTTGAAAACATATTAACTGTTGATTTGATTTTATTTTAAATAATGATAGAAAGTAAGTATTCTCATCATTTACTATTATTACAGTCAATATCATTGTTTTTGAAAAATATTAATTATTGATTTCATTTCATTTTAAATAATGAATAGACTGTAAGTATTTTCATTATTACAGTCAATGTCATTGTTTTTGAAAAAATATTAACCTTTTATTTTAAATAATAAATAGAAAGTAAGTATTCTCATCATTTACCATTATTACAGTCAATGTCATTGTTTTTGAAAAAATATTAACTGTTGATTTCATTTTATTTTAAATAATAAATAGTTTGTAAGTATTCTCATCATTTACTATTATTACAGTCAATATCATTGTTTTGCAAGCATATTAACTTTTAATTTTTGTTTTATTTTAAATAATGAATAGCCTGTGAGTATTTTCATAATTTACTATTATCATTGTTTTGAAAAAATATTAACTGTTGATTTCCATTTTATTTTAAATAATGAATAGTTTGTAAGTATCCTTATCATTTACTATTATTACAGTAAATATCATCATTTTTGAAAAATATTAACTGTTGATTTTTGGTCTATTTTTAATAATAAATAGGGGGTAAGTATTTTCATAATTACAGTCAATATCATCCTTTTTGAAAAACATTAACTGTTGATTTTTGTTTTATTTTAAATATAAATAGGGAGTAAGTATTCTCATCATTTACTATTATTAAGTCAATATCATCATTGTTTGTAAACATATTAATCTTTTATTTTAAATAATAAATAGGGAGTAAGTATTTTCATAATTTACCATTTTTACAGTCAATATCATCATTTTTGAAAAATATTAATTGTTGATTTTTTGGTTTATTTTAAATAATAAATAGGGAGTAAGTATTTTCATAATTTACTATTATTAAGTCAATATCATCATTGTTTTGTAAACATATTAACTGTTGATTTTTGTTTTATTTTAAATAATAAATAGGGAGTAAGTATTCTCATCATTTACTATTAATCATTTTTTTTTGAAAATATATTAACTGTTGATTTGATTTTATTTTAAATAATTATAGAAAGTAAGTATTTTAATCATTATTATTATTACAGTCAATATCATTGTATTTGTAAACATATTAACTGTTGGTTTCATTTCATTTTAAATAGTAAATAGGCTGCATTTGCTCTTTGGTTCTTTGATAGCTTTATTTATTACTTTAAGTTTGGTAATATAAATTGTGCTCTTCTTTTATTTTCATCTTATATTGATATTTATTTTTTACTGTTGGTTATAATTTTTACATTCTAAAGATGTTTCTGATGGATTTTCCAACTAATGTTCATTTAAAGTATTTCTTATTTCTATATTCAATAGAAAAATAAAAGATTTTGAATTTTAATAATAATAAGAATTTCATTTCTTTCTTTCCTTCCTCAATGGTTACTAATTAATATATTTACCCATGTTAGGAATACTGCCAATACTTTATTCCAACAATTTTCATCCTTCAAAACATCTTGATCCTTCAATATTATTAAATCATCAAAATATTGGTTTATTATATTTAAAGATTGACTAATTATTTGTTCATAAAAAAAATATATATATGAATATGAATATTATATAAATATATTTTCACATACATTAAATTATAGCAAAGTACCTTATGAAAGGACTCGAATGTTTCTTAAGGATGACTTTTTCCTGTACTTGTGTACCGCCATATATATATATATATTGGTTTAAAAATAATAATTGGCAAAGAAAATATATACTTCATATTATATATGTATAAAAACCCTTAATAACTTCCAAATAAGATACAATAGCTTTTCTCTCATTGTTATTTAATTTCCAGGCTGATTCATCACAAACCAAACCCATCAATGAGCACCACATTAAATGTCTAAATCCAAATCATCTAAATATTAAAATATGGTTATGTGGATTATGTGATATGAGTAAAACAAGAAAGTTCCTAATCATATAATCATGTAATAATTGATTGATTGATTGATATTAACTAACCTCTTAATGCAACATCAATTATCTTGATTGCAACTGTTATAAATCTCCAATATTTTAAGCGAATTTTATTTATACCACTTAAATGATTAATATTAAAATTAATTAATAATTAATAACAAGAATCTTAATATAATATTAAATTCTTTATCAATTAAAAATTTAAGAATCCACTTTAATTCATTTGATTCTGGGACTATTGTTACCTTGACTCAACTTCGTCCATGACTGCAACTAACACAGCTTCAACTTTTCCCAAATTATTATGAACTGATTTCTAAAATGAATATATAAATAAATTTAAGAGCAAATTCTTCGTTCATTTAATATCAAAAAGATGAATGCATACTCTGAATTTTATTAAGTTCATTATTGTCAATGGCAATAAAAAATTACTTCAATGTCAAAATCGCTTACAAGTACAAAATCCTTTTTAATGCCTGCCTTTTTCAATTAACAATTGAACAGCTCAATTGCTATCAATTTGGTGAAAACAAAACCATGAGTCATTTCTTCAGTTACTGGTTGTTTACTAGGTCTATATTCATACCATTATTTAAATATTAAAAAAAGATACTAAAATTAACACAATAAATAATAAAATTTTTATTCACCAAAACCACAAAACTTTCTCATGACAATGAAATTATTTCTGTGGAGACGTTCTATATAGGTTTTCTAAGACACATTCTTACAACATGATTACATTCATTATCAATTAAGCACGCACCTCTATACTGATCCACTAAAGTGTGTCCATAATATAGATGAACTCTCATTATACTTATGTACCAGATGCAACCAATTGGAAATATTATTTAAATCGACACCAGCTGAAGTTGATAATACTTTTAAAGATGAAGAGTTTGACATTAAATATAATGATTGGTGTTCTGCGATGCAGTCAGTAGAGATTCCGTACAACTTTCAATAATTTTTGTACGGAATTTGTGAATTCTGAAAAGTTGATTGGTGGGGGGCCAGTCTGTACGATCTTCAATTCCATATTTGTTCCGTACAGAGCGGAGACGCAGATATACGGAATACGGAACCTGTATAGACTCTCTGCGATACTTGCGAATTTTTAGTGAATCATTCTTTGAAATGAGAACCATATTAATGTTGATGTCAACATTGACATGGTGTTGCTTTCGTTATCAGTATTAATTTTGATCATTATTTCAAATAAAATAAAATTTTTCTAATAATACTAGCAACGTAAAGAAAAACTGCACATATATTGAATAATCATAAAGATTGTCTTCAATAATTTATAATGAAAATTCTTTGCATTAATGGTATAAGAATCAATTAGAAACTCTGAAAAAAGCCATCAAGCTAATACCACTCCTATATCTAACTCTTTATCACGTTGCGTGAGGAATTGATAAGGTTATTAAATAATGCCTTAATATTTCTAAACATGAAAAACTAGTTGACATTTTTGAGAGTATGTTGTTTTTTAAAAAAAAATTGGAATTTATTTTATTAAACATAATTAACATTTTAAGTAAATGTGTGTGCTATATACTGTATAAATCAGTAACTTAGCAATGATCCAAAGAAAAAAACACCCTAAATGTAAAGAACTTTCATTAGGAGGAAAAAAAATAGTACAAATATATGATAAATGATTACAATAATTGATGGTAATACTCCATAACTGGATAAAACCAAGTTCCTTACATACCATGTTTCTAATTATTTCCTTTATTATGTTTATGATTTTATATTGTCAGGCTTGTAATTACTGGTAGTTATTTTTTAAAAAATTTTTTTTTGTTGTATATGTGATCTACTATATATAACACAACGTGTTGGGGTGTACGATGGACTAATGTAGATCAAAACTAATTGACATCATATATAAAATTTACTAATTAACTTTTTTTCAACGAATATAAAAATAAAAATTGC